TAACAACATCTACTCAGAATTCCACCATCCATGTGATGAGAGTTTGGTCAAGTGCATCATGTTTACGATGAGATTGCACCTTGTATAACGTGATTTGAAGTAACAGCAAATTGATCCGACCAACAAAAAAAGTGTGTCCAACATTGAACGTAGTTTTATAAAAAAGTATGTTTGAGATAAAAGTATGCTCAACTGTCCAAAAGAAGAAAAAAACATGCGACAAACCAAAGATATTTTCTGCATGCGATTGCGTTAAAAACCGTTTTTCGCCTGTTCTCAGGCTCATTGATGCTGAAAATTTGATATTGCCATATCAGTATGGTACATACCTCGATCCAAACTAACAAGAGATCAAATTCTCTCCAGTCACATTACGTCTGAGAACTTGAACAAAATACCCGAACGAAAAAAAAAAAAAAAACTTCGACTCATTCGTCGATCCGACTAAAGGGAAACATTTCAAGAAATAAAAACATACACACACACACACATACAATACTCGATACGTGCTGTTATTTCACTTGGGGTTTAAAAAATAAGAAGAAAAAAAAACGAGAGACGTAAACGAAAAATACGATCGAAGAATTACCGAAAAAGATGGCACGATGTGTTCAACATACGAGCAATAATAATTATTACGAAGAGCGAGGATGAAGGAATGACGAAGGAAAATTGTGAGAATTTAAAAAAGCCAAAAAGGCAACGAATGACAAAATTATTGTGGAACATAGAATATGCGGGATGAATATGAGCGAGCGAGCGAACGAACGATCAAGAGCAAGAAAGAGAAACGAAAAATCTGTACAAAATCTACTTAAATGAGAGAATTCAGAGAGGCATAGAGTCATACTATCAGCACAATAGTCTGCATCATAGCAACAACAACACCGAACACAAACTCTCTCGAAGTCGTCGAACGTCGCAATGTACGAAACAGAAGAAAAGAGATTTCGTTTTTTTTTCGGTGTGTGTGTGTACTGTCGATGGCACCGTGTGTTCTATCCGTATGTTTATTTATTTTTGTTCATTCGTTTGCTCCTTGGGCCAGTGCAGTGTGCAGCATATCGTTCTTTCTGGCCATTACCATGGATGCTTGTTGAATTTTCTTGGTCTTTCACAATTTTTTTTTTTTTCTCTTCATTATTATTTCATGTATATGTTGGTTCATTTGGGTTTTGCTTTTCTTGCTGTTATTGTTGTTGCTGCTACCTTGGCCTTAGCCTTTTCGTTCGATTAGCGCATTTGTATTGAAGGTATAAGCGCGCGCAACTTATGGTATGCCTGGACTTCTTTTGTTCTCGATTGCATGTGCTGTGTGCTGTTTTCCGTTCTTGCGCCTGTTCAATGTTTTGAGTCCGGTTGATTTGGTTCATGTGTTGGTGTGTGTGTTTTTTTTTCTTCTCTCTTACCTCTTCACTACCTTTGTGCGCGCATGGCCAGTGGTTGCTTGTTTCATTTGTAAAAAATTGTTTTTAAAGTCTCTTTTTCCATTGTTGTTGTAGTATTTTAGGTTCTTTTTCCCTGATTTTGTTTCGCTTTTAACGAAATTAAAAATGGAAAACGTGTACATTGTTACATTGCATAGACCAAATCAAGCCACAGCGGCAGCAGCAAATAATCTGAATAAAGAAGCTAATACTCCTTCTTTGGGTTGATTCGGTCGTGTTTTATTTTTGCTCTTGTGTTACGCGAGAGCGTGAATATGTAAGCAAAAGTTGGTAAATATTTTGCATCGCACATAAAAACACGGAGACGCAAACAGGCGCGCGCACGCTCGCAACTCAACTCACCACATCTCGCTAAACAGAAAGGAGTCGTTAATCTGCGCGAATGAGCAATGCGCTGAGCTGACTTTTTGTACATGGCTCTCAAATTCACGGCTTGTTATTCAATTGTGTTGTGAGTTACGTTCTGCGTTTAACGATTATCAGCACCTTGTTTTTCTCTCTCTCTCTTTCTTGTTTGGCAATCGAACGAGCCTTATACGCGTCTGGTAATTTGAATGCAGCGCAAACAAAATAGTCACCACACCATACGGGCCGGTTTCAGAGTGTGTAAATTAAAATCTCGGTTGGTTTTGGTTTTTTCTTATTTTTTTTTTTCGTTTCGTTAACTGGTATTGTACTGGAAGCCAATGCACGGAGCTATCGACACACCATCTGCTTCTGGCTTAAGCTAGGGAGATATATGAATTGTCCGCATAATACTTAACAATGGAATAGTGAGAACAGAGTCCAAATCAATCGCTTCAACCGAAAACTAAGCGCGCGTTCATCCAATTTTCAAAGCTCAAGTTAACACTCCACTAATTGAAGTTGGCAATGTACACCTGTTAATTCTCGAGCAATTTCAACGTCGAGATTTTTTCTGGATTGAATTAAGAAAAACCATTTTTTCCACCTTAAAAAACCAAAAAAAAAAATCGAAAGAAAATTCTTTTGAAAAAAAAAAAAAATGAACGAATACAGATTTGTTGGGAACATGGCTCGGTTTTTGCAGTGCATAAAGCACCGAAACATGATTTTGCCGTAAAAACGCTAAAAACAATAGGCCCGCAGACGATGCAAATCACGGCAAACACAACCGGCGATGCCTAAACGATGAACAGCGATCAACAATAGCAAACCCATTTCATTTGTGATTTTGTATGCTATTTTCTGTTTTAAATATATGCTGAAAATGAGATCATGTCTCTAAGACCATCAAGTGTGCATATGTATGCTTATGTGTTTATGTACGGCGTACCGGCACATGCTTGCAATAAATTCAGTGGGCAAAGCAGCAAAAACAAACACGAAATTCATTATCATTAGGAAGACACGAGTATATGAACATAAAACCGAAGAACTGAGCCAACGAATGAGTTCTAGCGAGTGAATGAGATGAGATGAGAAACGCAAAAAAAAAAAATCGAAAAATTAACGAAACATCGAAACGGGCAAAACACGACCGACCAAACTATTTTTTTTCGTTTTTTCTTCTCAGTTTTTGAAATGGAATAAACGAAATGCGATGCAGATTTCCAGACAGGCATATGCTGGAGACACATATGCCAAGAATATGTGTTTAAGCAATCGCATTGCCTGCCAGTGCATACGATAAAAACGGAAAAAGACAGATACACAGAGCGTTGTAGCACATGAAAAACAACCATGTTTATCATAAATAATGCTTGGAAATTTTGCGCTTTTTTTTACTCGATGCGAGACAGATACGAGAGAGAGAGAGAGAGAGAGAGAGAGAGAGAGAGAAAGAAAAAGACTTGATAATCGAAATACATGGGTTTGTTGGGAACGTAGACGACGACATGCACATTGCATTTTCAAGCGACAAATTCTGTGTCGTGTTTCAGGCAGTCTCAGGACTATGGTTCTACGCATTGAACATTTTATACGTTGTACATTTTTATGTTTTACGCAATTAAAACGCCTAATACCAACGGCAATCTTATTTTTTTCGGGTCCAACCCGAGCTGTGATTATGTGCGTGTGAGAGCGCTGCACATGGACTAATTTTCAAATTTTATTCCATCTTAAGACCATTAACACACAAATGCAATTCAATTCATTTCGTCTATTCATTACGCTGAGCATAAAGCTGATTCTTCCGTTCTTCCTTTGTCGGATCACAACTGATTATCCACGCTAATTGAATTTCTTCAAACGATGCGAGGGAAAACTACAAACTCACTCACTCTCTCATTTTCTCTTGCTTTCTTTCTACGTCTTGTTTTCGTTCTTTCTCTCACTAACTCGTGGCAAAGTTTCACCCAAAACGAAAATTTACCGCAAACAATTTAAAAAAGGATTTTTACGTCCGAAATTCAATCATGACGTCGATCAAAGACGGTAATAAAACACAAAAATTAATGTTGGCTTGGTCTCAGACACATACACACACACACAGATACAGAGATGTGAAAAAAAAATGGTTACAAGCCAAAAATAGCAAAACGGAAAAAATTGGTGTTTTGTGTGCGGATTGTGCTGTTTATTTTCAAAACCCGATTTCGGCTGATCGCTTCTTTTCTCCTCGTTCTCGTCAGTTACGACTTCAATTTTACGATTGTTTATAGAACAGGAAAATTGGTTTCTTTCTTGTGGCAAAAATTGTAAACGTTTTTCTCGTACGTGTAAATAGAAAAATTGGTTCAAACATCCGAAAGAAAGACAACGAATGAGGATGAATGGCTTACACATTTCTAGTGTAGAATTTAGATTTTTGTTGTTGTTAAGTTTTTTCACGCAAAATCACCTCAAACAAAAACAAAAAAATGAAACACATATTTCTATTTCGATCGCATCGATATTTTGTATGTTTGAATGTTTATCGTTCGATAAGCCAGCCGAATGCTCAAGACAATGACGACGTCGACGACAATGAAAAAAAAAATGTAAGCGTTCAAATAAAACCCAAGAGGTGATAAGAGGATTACATCGTAGAAACTCTACTTAGTGTTGTAGTTTTTTTTTTGTTTCCATGTTTTTCCTTTCATTTCGCCTCGTAATCAAATAAACAAATGATCGTATCCATTTGCTTTTTTTCCAAATAGAGTTCTGAATGCACCAATCATGGCATCAACCCAAGGGAACTGAACAAAAATAGGTTTGTAGCATTTTTGCATCAGGACGGGGAAAACAGTTAAAATAACAACAGTGCAATTGAATGCGGTTAAGTGGCACGAGATCACCGTTCGAACTGCGTCATCGATTACTATGCAAACAGAATTCCATAAGTTCCGAGTGTACTATACCGAGTGTGTTGTGTCAAAGCAATGGACGACTTTTTTTTTGAGTATGTGCAAACGTACGCAAATTCGTTTCGAATATCATCGTTCTTTCTCTGTTTCTTTCGTGTATGTGTGTGTGTATGTGGTGAGTAATGCTCACAATAAATAACTGACTCGATTGAGTGGACAGAGAGAAAAACATCGAGAACACATATAATGCCTTGGAAAGCAAAAAAACTGAGACTGGGTGACAAAATTGGTGATTACTTACATATTATGTTAAGAGCAAAGAGGTTTCTGGTAAAATAGCTATATTTCGTGGCGAGACACGGTTGCCTCGAGCCGTGTGTAGTTGTCTTTGTCCGGTGTCGACGGTCATCGTTGTCTATGTCGGTGGTGATTGTGGTGGTGGTGGTGGTGCTGCTGCTGCTGATGAGGGTAATGTTGGATGTAGCTCGTCTGAGCGAGCATTGACTTTGTCGCATACACTCAATGCATTCTGCCGGCCCCTGGCCCATTTCTATTTAATTGCTCTACTTTCATTTAATGCGTGAATCAGAAATCAATCGGCAACGCGTGGATTGATTTTACCAAACGAATTAATCCTAAACTGACTTTGAACTGTTTACGTTTCTGTTTACAATTGCGTCGAATTCAGCGATTAGATTTTATTCATGTGGCAGTTATCGCAAAATGTCGATCCCACGCATTTTATTGCACACACTCAATGTTCATGTTATTTCACGTTTTGCTTCGGTACTGTAATGACTTCAAAGAAGTTAAGTTTCAAGTAAGGCACATCTTTCGATTCATCAACAGCCACAATCGATCAAATTAAGCTCGTGTTGCGTGCGTGTAATTAATGTTTTTTGTTCTATTTTTGTTCGAAACTATTTGGTCTTAATTGAAATGATCGTTGAATTGGTATCTGGCTTATCTTTTTATTTGTATTTGACACGGCACATTCAAATGCATAAACAACAGGCGAATATGTATTGAGATCGTTTCGATTTGTTCGATGAAAGTATAAACAAATAATGAAGCAAAAAAAAAAACAATCAGCCCAAAATTGAATAAAACACGCACATCGATTACCACATGTTGCAAGTTCGGTGTCCGATACCGATTGCTTTGAAGTTATAAATTTGGCAGTGGACAACAAGCCGTCTCTGTCTTTTGCTTGCCGCCAATCAAATTCCTGCACAATGTATACCGATTGTCACGTAACTGATTGCCGGCAATTTAACCAAAATTATTGCTATGCGCTCAAGTGTATTCTCGTGGCGTTTCTCAAATCTAGATTGTGTCATACGTTGGGCACTTATCGTTAAATTGTTTTCTCCTTTGTTTTCTACAATCGATGTGTGTTTTTTTTTCTTGGTTTGCGTCGACGATCAAAAATACAATAACAACTGGTACCAACTTGCACACTTGATCAATTCTAATGGCACTTTTGAAACTTCGAACAACAAGAAGAAAACCAAAAACCGATTTTCTTTATCTTCTTTTAATCAATGCATTTATTCATGGGTTATTTTTTTTAAATTGATATCGATTGATTGGGTATAAAAATGCATGTTGTTTGTGTTTATCGCGGCCGGTGCGCGTGTTTGTTGCAACTAAAAACAAATTCTTCGTGTACAAAATGTCAACAAACAAAAGAATAAACGGATAAATATCGATGTTATTTTCGGAAAAAATCCAATTTATCGCTTCGTAATTCGCTGAAATGATCAATTCACTGCCACATTTACCAATAAAATGCATTTATTTCGCGTTGATTAAGTGATTTATAACGTTTGGATGCAATGAAAACAATACAATTAAGTGAAAAACTGACAAATATTCAATCAAAAAACAAAACCGTACACTTTGCGTGCGTCCATTCAATAGAAAATCACAAACACATTTGGCACATTCGGTCGTCGTCGGTGTCGAGCCAGACGTCTACGAATTTATATACAAAAAACATCCATGCAACACAGGCACGCACACACACCATCATAGGTACGATTGGATATGGTTTCATGTGTGCAACAGCTAATCATCAATGGTGACATCTGTTGGCATTTTTATTATGACAACAAAAGATCGAAAATGGAATTCAATTCGAAATGTAATCGTTTTAATACGATTAAAATGAAGAGCTTTGATTGGGCGAAGAAGATGGAATGTGGCTTAAATTCAGCGACTCACTGCTCAGACTTATTTAACACACACAGATTTCAAGAATTTTCACCTTTTCTTCAACACAATACAAAGTCAGCAGTTTATTTCTCGTCTCAATATGAACTCAATAGAGTGCTCAAGTTGAGTATCTCAACAACGCCCTCTGAATCTCACATCCAACAACCTTCAACATTTGGCGCTTTTTTCATCGCAAATAAAACGAATCGTTTTTTTTTTGGTTTAAATATTTTTTTCGGTACAGATTTTATTGGTTTTTTCCATTTTTTCTTGATCATAATCGAAAATAAATAAATAAATACGCAAATAAATAAATAAATAAGTTTTTTTTTTTAAATAAATTAATGAACAAAACGGTTGTTGTTGTTGTTTTGTTTTCTGTTGGAAAAATGAGTTTGATACTACGAGTTACTCTTAAATGCAATGAATAATCAAAAAAATACGTTTTAACCGCAAACATTAACGATTTTTTTCAACAGTTGTTTGGAAACAACGAAAGAAAAACGACACAATTTGATGAGGAAGTCCGAAAATTACTGGTCAAAAGTAACGAAGCTTTGTTGTTGTTGTTCTTTGTTTCATATTTAAATGTTATCTTAGAAATACTCAGGCTCTTCATTAGGTATTACTATGTGTCTATTGGTTGGTTGATTTGCTATCGCAAACCGAAACAAATGAGCATCTTAAGCTTCTTCAGTTGATTGTTGAAGGAATGCCTGGGCAACGGACGCCAATTTCTGTGACACAACCTGAGCGATGTGCGAACTCTTTTGCCACACAAATTTACGGGTGCGATCATGATTATCGGCACTATCCACCTTCACCTGTAGCCGTAAACAAGAACAATAGACACATTTTAGAAATGTTAGAATTTAGGAAAAACAAAATAGGCACAACGCATTGAAATTACCTGTTTCGGCTGTTGAACTTTGATCGAATGAAGTGAGACATTATTGCCGATCACACGCAAATTGATGCGACCAATCATTTGGGTAGTTGTAGCAGTGGCACGTTTTGTTTCTCGTTTAGCACCGCGTCCAAAAGATTTTTCCACTTTCAAAACCAATGGACCGAGTACGAAATTCGAGCGCACGGATAGGTATTCTGTCATTGGGCTGCAGAAGAAAAAAAAATTTGAAAAAAACTGACGTTTTTCATCCAATTGGACTGAAAATAGTTCTATTTCTAATATCAATAGTCTCAAGTTGAATGAATCAATTCAACTGAGTCTTGATACTGCTCTGAAACTTACGTGACGCGAACATTTCCGTGTCGTTTGATGGTGGAGAGGCCATGCAGTGTTCCACGAGCTCTATTTATCACTTGCGGCTGGGGTTTTGCATCGGATTTGACCGGTGCCTTTTGTTTGGTGACATTTACTTTGCGGCGTACTTGTGTGGTTTTGTGTTGTTGTGGATGGCCCTGTCTCAATTTATGAGTGCCACCAGTTGCCGTTGTTCCTGCAACCGAAGCTGGTTGAACCGTTTTCTGTTGGGTTTTGGCAGCGACAGAACATTCTTTCGATTGATTTGATCCAACGCAATCGGTTCGTGCTTTTGGTTCAGACTCATTGATGCTTCCATCTTGGCTGCGGCCCAGCTCATGGATGCTACCAATTGCAAGAATAAATTTATTGCCGAATTCATAAGCAGAGCTAATTGATGAAAGAATTTACCTCTTCTTCTTCTTCTTTTGTCCGTTCTTCTTAACACCTTGTTTGGCTGTGATCGATGTTGACAACCGCACGTTGACCGGATCGAATGATTGCTTGAGAATGGCTCCAATGCGTTCGTAGATGCGATCACAGTAGCGATTGTATTTGTAGACGAGTGCATCGGGTATGTTGTTCGGTGTGGTAGCTGCGACCGGAGCTGAAACATCTTCATTTTTTGCGGCAAGCTGCGGCGTTGGTGTTATACCGTTCAGTACATCGGCCGTATTGATAATCTCGGGTGTAGCCGATTTTTCCGTTTCTTCAGTGGAATTTGCCGGTGTGGCCAGCTCATGTGTGGCGCCTGTAAAAGGAATTTTCACATTTTGTTCGAGATGTCCATTGATCGTTGATTGAAAGCAAAACTTAAAAAACTTTAAATGTTTTAACAAATAAAACACAAAGAATCTAAACTCAACAGAACAATTCCAGAACAGAAACAGCATCGATTTGTTTCCCTCTCATTCTCTCTCTCTCTCTCTTTTTTGGTTCAAATCATTTGTCGAAGGTTCGGCATTATGCCGGAGAATCGTCAATGGAAATGTGCATATTTGCGGACACAGAGAGAGGCGTTTGATCGAGAAAGTTTCACATCGTTGGCATAGTAAGCTGCGATTCGATCAAACGATGTTCGTTTTTTCTTTCTTTCTTAATTAAGATCGTGCATACGAAATCGAACGAGTTTTTTTTCTTCATTATTATCATTTTATAGTATGTGTGTATGTATTTCATTTCATTCCATTCAAATTATCGTTTCTCCTTCGATTTCACAAGAATTGGAGGAGAGAAAAACAAGTTTTTCGACCGATTGAGGGAAAATTGTAATGAAGATTTCATTTTATACACATCTCTTTTTTGTTCATTGTTTTCGTCTGTGTCATCGTCGCCGTTGTTGTCGTCTTTGTCGTCGTTGTTTATATTTTGGATCGCATAAGGAATTCACACGTTCATACGTACACAGATTCGACGTCAATTAAGTGTAACCGATTAAATTGTATAAATATACGCTTTAAACTAGGTGACCTAGAAATCTACAATGGAGATCACAGCAGCAGCAGCAGCAGCATGGTATGCGAATATCTGCATACAGGGAATGTGAATCAAGACATGTGTGTGTATGTGAGAGATGCGAGAAAGAATTGATATTGTTGTCGCTTTTATCTTTCGGCTTGGATGGAAGAAGAAGCGATGCTGAGAAGATCGAAGATCATGGTGATTGCAAGAACAGAGTGTGCGAACGAGCTCGCGCGCGCACGCTCACGGGAAAGTGTGTCTTGTGTGAAATTCTCGATATGAATACTGTGTGCGCACACCTTACGATTCTTTTTTTCAATCTGCCTTACACACACTCTCTCTCTCTCTCTCTCTCTCTCTCTCTCTCTCTCTCTCTCTCTC